TTTCTCTTCCTTCAGCATACAAAAAGGGGGTTGAAATCATTTTAGTTGATTAAAACCCCATTCGTGCCTTTTAGAAGGCGCCTCGTACAACACGAGGTGAGGCCCTCCCACACCTGCGGATGACAGGACAGAAAGTGCCTTCAAGAAGGGAAGGGAGAGTCCCCGACTGTCACCGCATCACCCCAAGAGAAACCTGTGCAGAGGTCGGGGGCCGAACAAACTGACAGCGATGGCACCAGCACTTCAAATCAAGTCATTCAACACAACACACACTGCAGTCACACACACTGCAATCCATCAGCGCGTACTTTCACTGGTACCGCCATTCTGAGAACACTTCCTGTCAGGGTTCAGCAGGAGTTCGGGGCAGAAAGAGGAAGGCGGCGAGCAGTGTCTAAAAGCAGCACAGCACCACGCGGCCAACGGAGGTAACAGCAGGCAGGAGCTGCCTGAAGAGCAGGTCCCCCCGACTCCAGCTGAGGCCTCCAGCTGCAGGACTAGCCGCAGGACGGCACAGGGCTGCTCAGCTGGCCGGGGAAGGGCAGGAGACGGGGGGGCAGGCTGGTGTCTTGAAAGGTCAGAAAGGTGTCTTCTTCTACCTTGAGGACCGGGAGCTTGGCTTGAGGTTCTGACGATTTATGTTGAGGAGCGGGAAGCGGCTTCGAGACTCGAAACCGGCTGGGATCGGCGCCAGGGGCCAGCGCCCTGGCCGCCACCCGGAGGCTGGAGATCAGTCAAGAGGCCCAAGATCTCGGCCAGGCCTGGGGGGGGGGGCGGTACCCGCCACCGCAGGGGCCTGTGGAGATGTCAGGGCAACCCGGATTTCAAGGGAGCGCCAGTCATGACCGGGCGAGCAGCGGACAGCAGGGAGTGACGATCAGGCGTCAGCCCACGGCATGATCTAGTCGCGCAGATCCGCATGCAGCCATCTCAATCGCTGCGGAAATCGGCTCTCTCCGACACGAGGGATCAGGCCACAAACAACTGTACGGAGAGGCAGACGCACTAGCTGTGCACTGCCATTTGGTTTGAGCTCAGACGAAGATCATTAACAGCTAAAACTTTACACTACCACCAAGGGGCTACCTGCAAACATTCACCATCTGTAATGCATGCTGACAATTAGGGACTTAACTTCTTCTTGTTGTGCGCACAGCCTTGGCCACAGGCTTACACAAGTGAGCTGAAAAATGCAGATTTATCTGTGTTAAGGTTGCCATGACAGAAGAATTCAGAGGCCATTCAGCAAGTGCTAGAGCTGTCAATACCCCTGAAATATTGTAGGGCTGAATTACTCAGAAGTAGATCTGTGTTCAAACATTCACTTTGAAGGAATCTGAAGATCGTCTGAAGTGCATCAGGCATTCATGCAGTGGCAAACTCAGCTGAAGACTGTTCAGCCCAAAATACTTTGTCTTATGAATCTGGCTAGTACTGAAACATGCTCAAGATACCATGCTTGCTAAAGTTGTGTTTTGTCTTAGTTAGCTGCAGTCTTAGTTAGCTCAACAAAAGAGTTCTTCTGCGATGCAGCAATGACAAATAGACATTATACTGCACTTATATGTGATACCTAGGGGAATATTAAGTACATTAAAAAATAGCAGTGGTTATTAGCATAAATCAATTATCAGGATCAATCAGGGGCAGGTTTCAAATCATTTGGAATCACATGAAGCAGGGCCAGTTTAAAACTGTGCCATTTAACTCATCACTTGATTCTTTCAAAGCATGTTTCTGGTATGGTGACAGAAGTTTTTTTTCTCTGACACGATACCTTGAATCTGTAGTAAAATATAAAAAAAAAACAGATGATGCCGAAGTTTTTCGGTGCTAAAATAAAAATGTTTTTCTTGTAAATTCTTTTAAAAGAAAAATTAACAACTGAAAAAAAAACTCTGCAATGTATTTTTCTATATTCACGTGCAACTACAGAATTCTGCCTCAAGCCTGTTGCTATAAATAACTTTAAAGCAAGAGCCATCAATGTACAGTATGTTGGCATATATCTAAAAATTGCAATCCCATCCTTAGCGTAAGAAAAAAAATGTTTGCTTCAGTTCAGCTCCCTTTTTGGGTTCCTCTTGTCGCCAAACGGATGGGACGATCTTTCCAGAAGGGCCTGAAGTACTGGAGCTGGGGCATACGTTTTCTCATTAGGCGGCAGCTGAGCTGTCAATACCGGTATCTGGGTCAGTAGTGAGCTCCTGGCAAAATGGTGCACAGTCAATTGTTCAGCCAGCAGAGACCAGCTGAGTGCAAATGAGATCTGGGAACAAGGTCACCACCCCCTGCCGTTACTGGGGTGGCTGGATACTGTCGCCGGAATTAGACATATAGATTATGTACCCTGCTCAAAACGTAAGGGCATGCATCCCGTTATGTCAGAAGGGTGACCAAAAACCGAAAATACAGGGCCATTCACTGAGAAACTACCCACTGCATCTGAAACTTTGCTTCTTTTGTGCCTGTAAGTTAGATATCTGTAAACTTTAGATATTTATTTCATGGACCATACAGAGGCTGCTAAATAAGGCTTTATGTTACAGTATTGTCAAAGGTGCTATAAAAAGGAAATTTCTATGAAATTTCAGTTTTGATACCTAATGGGAAATTCGGCTTTACAAAAAATTAAACTTAACATGAAGCAATTTTATACTTGTTCTTCTGTCCTTATCAAAATTGAAAACAAAAAAATTAAACTTCGCTATATGCCCTTGATTTCAAAGCAGGACAGTTTCTTAAGAATAAGACAGTGGAATCTAGTCTGTGCTGTGTCTTGACATGCAAGAAGTACTGGGTTCCTGCTTCAGAATGACAAGAAGTAGGCTTGTATAAAGTCGTGCCATCTACCTCATCAGTTGATTCTCTCAAAGTATGTTTCCTGGTCTGATGACTGATCCCTATTATACATTAGCCTTGGGAAAGTTTGTCTCAGAATAACACTACAAAACAGCACACAAACAGATGCTGAACAAGTGTGCATTTTACAAAGCTAAGGACAGGACTGTGGACTCCCAGTACAACTAAGGGAAAGTTTTTTTTCTTAAATCACCAAAGGGTTGATATTTATCAAGCCAATGTTTTCTTGAGATGCAGCAATTTACGAAACAAACGGCACACATTTGGTCTTCATCATACAGGTTAGTGGGAACACGTTGTGCCTCGATCGAGATAGATCTCAGGGAGTCGAGGCTCATTAATCTGGAGAGAAAAACCCTTTCCAAACATTTGGGGCTACATCGGTGCACTGCCAGACAGTGTTGTAGTCAAGACCACAGTGACTCTACCCAGGGACAGTAGTCCTGCCAAGATCTCCCCAAGAGTAACAACAAACAAGCGCTGTGCAACACCCAGAGTAACACCTGAGGATCTGCAGGCCTCTCTTTCCACAGCTAATATGAGGGTTCATGGCTCAATCATAGTGAAAACACTGAACGGCAAATGATTTTCATGGGAGAGTAGCCAGGAGCCATTGCCCTCTAAACAGAACAAAGCCAGTCACATCAGGTTCTTCCAAGGAGCACAACCAACCAGACTCCTGGGAAACTCAGAGTTGAACCTTTCGACTGCAGTGTTTAACATTTCGCATGGGGAAAAGCAAATCCTGCCTACCACCATAAGAACCTCCCCCTGACCCTCAAGCTTGCTGGTGGGAGTATCGTGGTCTGGGGCTGCTTTGCTGCTTCAGGACCCAGGCAGCCTGTCGATACCGACACAAACAAGAGTTCACTACTGCATCAGCACGTCCTGGAGGAGAACGGCAAGCCACCCGTCGGCCGCAGCCGAGCTGAAAGAGCAGGACACTGATCTTAAACAGAAAGGGTGAAGAAGACGTTGCGCATTCTGGACTGGCCAAGCCAAAGTCCAGACGTAAACCCCATCGAAGTGTCAGGGCAGGAACTGAAGTGAGCTGTTCATGTCAGGAAACCATCAAATGACACCAACTTGAAGCAGTTCAGTGATGCAGAACTGGGCAAAATTAATAAAATCCGGTGCCAAAGACCTATGACAGATGGGGAAACATCAAGCTGAAGTCACTGCTGCTCAGGGAGGTGCCTCTAGTCATGGACTCTACCTTCTACAACAGGAGACTACAGAACAACCAAAGGTGTTCACAAACTTTTTCTCTGCACTGTACGTGGGTCAATACAATATAAAATAAATGTATCACACCTGGAAATATCGACAATGTGTACATCAGTCTACTCACATTACCTCTTCCTGCATTAGGCCACGCTAAAAGCTATATTAACCCATTCCCATGTAGTTTACAGGACCTGAAACTGAAATTTACAATACTGTACTGTGATCGATACAGGGAAAGCAATAAGTGTATGAAACACTAGAAAACACAAAAAACCTCAAGCAATCCAGAAATTATTCAAAGTCGCCAGAAATCAACAGAGAAAATGTTAACCCTAATAGATCACAGAGTCTTATTATAATAGGTAAACAATTTGCAACATTTTTAAACTTCTGCATTTGTCGGTGTGCTTGTTTACTTCCTTTTTGTTTTGGACTGGTGAGGAAGTATCACAATGAACAGTTCTATAATACGGAATCAGGGACTGGGTAATGGCTGTAAAGCAGAGGAGATCCAAGTTTATTTTGACAAAATAGCACTACATAGAAATAACGAATGAGGATATGCGCTGTGATCATCAGAAGACAGTTAAGACTGAAATTGTTAAAATACTTCTACTGGAGTATATTAACAGCGTTACTACAATTCTGAAACAATAAGGACATACATATATTTAAAAATAAAAACGCACTCTGATTTACATAGTCAGTTTTCTAAAGAATACACATTTTTCTAATAAAATGTAATACATATACTGTTGTTTTAGAGTCATGGTGGTCATATACAGTAGCTATTAAATAAATACTACCCTGATTTTTATGGGTTAACTGTCAAGGATGAAGACCAAAGTGGTTAGAAATGGCATAGAAAATACTGCAAAGAAAAAAAATGAATTAAAACCACAGGAACTTACTACTGTGCACAGTCAATGAGCTGGTACTCATTCGATCTCTCAAAGCACGCCTTAACTCCTTCATCATCCCATAGCTTCTTCGCATGCTCAAAGAACTCCTGTTGACAGAAAAAAATGTGTTTCACTCCTTGCTTTCAGAAACAGAACATTCCCTGCAGGGAAAAGTAATTCATTGACATATAAATGGTCACCTTTTCAAAACCAAACTCACAGATGAATTGCCGAAGCAGAAAAAAAAAATCACAACATTTAAAGTAAATACATAGTACTGGACATTTGTAGGCATCACAAGGCATCACTTTGAGACAGGCTCAATATCTGTTCCTCAGGCCGGGACAGGACAACAACACACTGGGCTGTCAGCTCCACAGAGTCTCCCATTAGGGTCAGAAGCTGTTCCGATTCTGGCAGGTGTGGGAATTCTGGGATGAGATGTTATTTTTAGGGAAGAATTTTTGTCTAATCCCAGAATATTTCTCACACTGCAGCAGAAAAGTACAGGTCTGTTTCTCCCCGCTGACAGTGGGAGCACAGCCTGTCCTTTCTGGACAGTCAGGTCAGCCTGTGTCACCCAATTTCTATGTCAGACTGAATCTGAAAATAAATTATTGAACACTTTAGTGATACAGCCACGTATACACCTGCAGAAGTAGGAACTGGGTCACCCAGTTTCTATGGCCACTGAGCCTGTCCTCTCTGGGCAGCCTGGTCTGCCTGTGTCCAGTTTCTGTGGTCACTGAGCCTGTAAATCGTCAGGGTCTGTTTCACTTGCTGTCTCTTATCCTGTTTAAAGAATCAGCGAGTGTGTGAGTGTCCGGTGCATGTTGTGTTTGCATTGATGTGTCCTAGAGGGCACGGCAGTGTTGTTTGGCTTATCGCGATGTAAAAAAGGATCTAAAAAAAACTGGAAATGTGTGTAAATGAGGAACAGCAAGTATACTGAAAGCAAGGGCTTCCCCATAGATGCAAAGTGCTTTTAGACTTGATAGTGGGATCCGACCAAACTTACTATTGAGTTACTATTAATTAGTGCTGCCATTTTCCCCACTACAGGTTCACTTCTCAAATCATTCAGATTCATATTTTATGATTTTTTATTTTGCTGAACAACTTTACTTTCGAGCATGTATGAAAAGTCCTAAAATCCTTATAAGAGCAGAGTAGAGCAATGTACATGAACACTGGAATTCAGATTCACAGTGATCTCTTGGGACGTACTGTATTCAGCACAGCAGACAACACCATACAATGTAGACGGTACATTACACCATAACCAATAATACAACCAGAACAGTAAACACAGTATATAGTAGCGGAAGGAAAAAAACTTTGGACTTAAATGCTAGGATGATTCTAAACATACTGCTGAACAGCAATCTCCCAAAATTACTAAAGTAAAATCTCTTCCTTCTGAAATGCAGGACATGTTCCACTGTAGACTGAAACAGAATTTCACCATTCATGTCTCTCTATGTGGCTACTTCATAGGAGAAGATAAAAAGAGCACTGTATTTGAAAAATAAAATGAAAATATAAAAACACCAGTACATATTAAACATATTTGTATTTAAAATCTGTCAGACATTTTGCAGCTTTAAAAACTAAATATATCAGAATATCAGGAGGCTAATGAACACCGGCAGACCATTGGCTTATATTCAGTTTATGTATATGCAGAGTTAAAATGATTCAGTACAGTGGCCAGCTTCTTCCACACAAAGCAAGCTGCTGAAAATTGGCAAGGAACAAACAGCATCATTTTAACATCAAGCTCCAGACATACACAGCATGTCAAACTACTGTACGAACTTCGAGAGGTTCTGCAGCAATGGGGCACAGAACACGCCAGACAAGGGGTGTAGGACAAGTTAAAAAAATGACCAGTGACGGAACCAATAACCCCTCACGAATACAGAATGAGGCCTGTTTACTTATTTGGACAACCTGACCCCAAGTTTCAGAGTTGCAGAGGATGACTTGAGTTTCTCAAATCTCTGTTTCAGCTACCAGCTGTGTAGAGAGCGGTCTTCTCTTTATGTGATGACTTCTTCTGCCTTTTTCCAGGCCAGCCATCACGAAAGCGCGCTTGATATAAAATGCACGCTTGTGTTTATTAAGTTTCTGCAGGTGAAGTCACTCCCTACATGTCAGCCTTGAGAAACGTGATCAAGGAAAGGGAAAGAGTGGCTCTCTGTTTAGCAAAGGGCTAACTGCAGTGAAGAAGGCAGGTTATGATAAAGAAAAAAAGAAAAACTGCAACAATCATTCACTCTACAGCTAAGCTACATACCAACAAGGTTAATAATACACAAGCGTTTCCAGGTTATCTCTGCGGTATCTTAGGACTGCAGACTACTTACAAAACAGGGCCAGATATTTATACAAACAACTGAAAAAGCAGAACAGATTTTCTGTGCAGACTAACACGCAGGCAAACAATTCTGAGTTTTGCTAATGTGAGATTTAGCCAGAATTAAAAAACTACTTTAACGAAAGCCTTTTCCTAAATAACAGCTTTAAAGAAAACTGTTACAGCAGACATTAGTTTTGTTTCCCGATGGAGTTACTTGTCCCGCGGGGGGAAAAAAAGTTTTCCGTGTGGCTGGTATGAATATATTATAAAAGTAGGGATGGGTTTGGAGGTAAGTGGGACTGGGATCCTGCCTCTAACACATAGAAAGCAATGACTTTATAGATTCTCCACAATCTGCTCAGCTGCACCCTGAGTGTACTGGACCCATGCTCAGAGCTCAGAGCATTCCTGTTTGACTCTGCTCTGCAGTCATCGCACTCCTTAGTGTGCCTGCTCCATGGTCTTATTTTAGGTGTTACCGCACGTTTCCTAAGTGGTCCCTCAATAACGACAGCTTTTAAGTGAACCAGAGCCGAGGGCTGAAAAACACCCAGTCATTCTCCAAGACCATTGTTATCTAGACCCTGTTTGATAGGCGAATTGCATTCACCCTGGGGCGTCCTGAATGGCCTACGTGCAGCACCCAGCACTGTGGGAGGTGCACTCGTCCGCGTCTACTGAGCCACCAGGGCCAAGGCCGACCAACAGGCCCCGTGAATGAGTGTCCTATTGTGTGCGGACAGACAGAAGAAAACAAAACCTCCTCGGTACTCTCTTCCGCCATTTACCTGCTGAGCCTGTATTCTGAGTCAACTTTCTGAATGTTTTTCTGAATGTTAAGCAAGAGCTGTGATGGGTTTCAAAGCACCCTCCAGCTACAGCACATATTACTGCTGTTTGATTAGGCAACCCATGACCGAACCTATGCATACACGTGACGCAATCCACAGAGTTTGGAACCTGAGGAAAGGGGATATTGTAGGATTTACGTTTGGAAAAAGTAAAAAACTTCTATCCTTTTTTATAAAAGTCTGTGAAATCATAAATGTAAAGGCACGATCACAGAGAATTATGTAAATGTAATGCAATTTTTTACATGTGCCTAACCATACTAACCTTCATCTTTAAGACGGAGTGGGCTTCAATGAAAATGTTCAATATGTGAACCCCTATCAAAGTGAGCACGCCCAGCCTATGAGGAAATCTTAATGTCGTGCACTTAAAATATGTCAGATTTGCACTGGTGAAGCTGGAAGTAGACTTTGTCTGGCTAAACGTATAAGTGATATCACGGCTTTGTACTTCAATTTTATGCAGAAATGTATAAAAGTGATGCTTAAAAAAAATCTTTTTAGCCTAGACGTTAAAAATAGCACTGCCTGATAAAATGTCATCTAATGCTTCACAGAAAAACACAAGAAATTCCTATGCCAAGCTTGACAGACTAAACATGAACCTAATCCATTAAACTCTGTATCTGAGACATTCAATCAGAGCTCAAGAGCAGGCATCTCTATCTCTGCAAGACAGAACAGTCGAAGGACATCATCACCGCGCATGTTCCCCAAACTCCTCAAAGTATAAGGGTTACTTTGTTTCTGGCACAATGTCTTAGGTAAGGCTGGACAAGGCTGCAGGGAATCCATCCACAGCGCCCTGCCTGCCTCTGCAGACAAGAAGCTGGAGATCGGGGGCTGAACTGGGCCGGAAGTGACCGAGCGACTTCCAGGTCCAACTGCAGGGCCCAGGTGGCACTCGTGAGTGCCCTTCCTGCCCGGGGAGAACGTCTGCTCCAAGCACCACCTGGGATTTGACTTCCCTCGGATTCACATGGGAGCACATTAGGGAGACAGGTAGACCGGCCATTGCCAAGTCCTGCCAGCTGCAAAATAACAACAAGAAATTGTTTTTATCACTTTGTCGCGGATGTAAATCACAGTGTTTCTGCCACCCAGTGCGGTAAGAATGTGACCTTTGAACTGGGACTCAACGCTGGAGTAAACCTGGTGCAACTCAAGCCTGCTATTACCCCTTTGCCCTGTGGGACCTGTATTAGAAGCAAAGCTTCAAGAAAACCACAGCAGTTGCCGATGCTGTCATAAGCACATTCACAACAGCCACGCAGTCTGAAGCGGGGAAGTCCGCTTCATTAAATGCTGAAGCAGCTGCCCTGCATCCTGAATGTCTTTCTACACAAGGATACAGTCAGGACTTGAGTATATGGATATGTACTTGAACCTATTACACAATACTAATTCCTTACACTTATATAGCGCTTTTCTGGAGTAATGCATGGGATCCCCCCCACCACCAGCGTTGCCCCACCTGGATGATGCGCCAGTCCGCTCCCCACACAGCAGCTCCCAGTGGGGAGGAGAGCAGAGGGATGAAGCCAGTTCAGAGAGGGGGATTATTAGGAGGCCATGTCTGGTAAAGGCCAGGGGGGGGGAATCTTGCTAAACGTTAAGGGCTGGAAAGTTTTACAAGTTTCGAGAATCATCTCATAGACTTTCACAAGAAGCCATCTGCTCAAACATAAAAAGAAATGCAGCGAAGTGGGAGAAGTAAAGCGCACCGGGCGCAAGATAACCGTGGCGTTGGCTGTTGAAAGGAGGGAGTGGCTGCCTGCAGGGGAGAGGAGCGCAAGGTCACCCGACTGGTAACACTCCTCCTGGCGAGCAGAGCAGAGAGCAACAGGAGCACGAGTGCTGTACTGCACACAAACGCTACGAGAATGACATCATT